GTTATACAAAGTGTGCCTTTATACACTACAGTACTAATGCTTTTCTGTATTGTTTATGTTAAGTTTTTCTTGGATAATTGTGTAGAGGACAGCGATCAGACATTTGATGAGTGCTGCAAAAGAATTGGTCTTCCTTGCAACAAAGATGCCACTTTCCAGTAGATCTTTTGTCAGAACAAGTAACAGTAGTAGATTTCCCTTGACAATCTCTTCGGCTAGAATTGTCTAGTGGACAATTTTTCTTGGTTTGATGTTCAAAGCAGAGGCAATGAAATTTTTTACATTCGTACCAATAATCACAAGGGACATTGGTTTTTCGACAACCTTCAGCAGCACAGGTGTTGACCTAATTAATATAAGCAATACATTATTATTATTATTATTATCAGTTTATCACTAGTATTATTAGTTTGATATACTGTTGCTCTTACTTCGTTATTGCTCATTGCCAATCCTTTGTCCTTCACTGTAATGTATTTTTAATAAAATTATCTCTTTTATACTTATTAGCTCTGTAAAAACAACTGTTGTACGCTGGCCATGAGTGTGTCTGTATTGCGTGGAATTTGACGTCAAGGAACTACCGATTATCAATAAAGAGGTGGGTTAGTGTATGTATGCGTGTGTTCTTCACATGATATTACACTAATGTAATGGTGTATGTATTGTATTATACTATCAGTCTGCTTGTTATTGTGAGCGTACCCAATAGTATTCATTACTATCTCCTCCTATGTCTCTACCACACACTCCTTCTCCTTCTCAATAATATGTCTTTAAAGTATTAACATTATTGTATGTAACGAAATATACATGTATTTGTACATTCATAATCATAATAATAATGAATAATGATTATTATAAATTATGTTTTTCTACGGTCTCTTTGATGTACAGGGCATGTACTCATATTGGAGCAGTTTTCACATAGTCTGTGATTGTGTCCACATAAATACAATACTCCTGATGAGAGGCACTGACTGGTTTTATGACAGCCATCACACTCCTCATTGCTGCTATTGGTACTCTATTTGTTACAGGAAAAAGAAAAAAAAGGAGCAAAAATATAAAGTTAGTGTATATTGTCTGTGATAAACTAAATGCAAAAATGTGGTTAATGATAATTTCAAATAGAAGAGAAAGGGTTTTTTAGGTCCTTCTGGGATAGCGTGGGTGTACTGGACAGTGGGTCTTGTTCAAAGCATGCTCATTGCAAAAGTAATGCTCAGCATAACAGGTGTACCACATTCCATATGAGCAGTCTGTCCTGTAACAGCTTTCACACTCTGGCTATAATATAATTACAGTAGGAAACAGTTATTATAAAACTTAGCATTTTGGCCTACCATTTTTGAGATGCTGTCTTTAACTTATTGTTACTATATTTTACTATTACTAAACCCTTTCTCTTTTATACTTATTACCTACGGATGTTACTGACTCACCATTAATGACAGTTTCTACTGCACTAGGAAAATCCCCTTACGTTACAAGAGATAGGACACGTCAGCTCTCTCTCTCACCGACAAACAGGTGCAATGGGTGTGTTTAATACACTGTACTATGCCAATGACATATTGTATGTATTGATTGTGTATTGAGCTTATAGAAGTTCTACGATAACACATCATGTACTCATGTACATGTACATACTGTACTTCATGCATAATGTATAGAGCAAGCCGGACAACTTTACAATAACAGATACTAAGTATACACATCCCTCCTTTCTCCCTCCCTCTCCTCAATGATTATGCTAATATTAACATTATTATGTGACATTTGTACATTAATGATCATAATAGTAATGAATAATGATTATTATAAATTAATTTTTTCTACGGTCTCTTTGATGTACAGGGCATGTACTCATATTGGAGCAGTTTTCACATAGTCTGTGATTGTGTCCACATAAATACAATACTCCGGATGAGAGACACTGACTGGTTTTATGACAGCCATCACACTCTTCATTTGCTATTGGTACTCTATAAAACAATCCAGCACAAATATAAAGGAAATAAGTAAGTGTTTGAGATAATAAAGTATAGCTAACGATAATTATTTCTTAAGTTACATGTAAGTAATAAAGTTTTTTGTGAAATTCAAACACAGTATAAAGAGAAAGGGTTCGCTAGGATTTCCTGCCATAGCCCGGATGGACTGGACATTCACTCATGCTATCATGATCTCCACAAAAGTAATGCTCAACATTACAGTTGTACCACGTTCCGTATGAACAGTCTGTTTTAGTACAGCTTTCGCACTCTGTTGGCTATAATATCATTAGGAAACAGTCATTATAAAACGTAACACTTTTGGCCTACCATTTTTGAGACACTGTCTTTAACTTATTTGTACTATATTTTACTATCACTAAACCCTTTCTCTTTTATACTTAGCGTATTCCGTTACCAACGGATGTTATTGACTCACCATTAATCTTGCTTAGCGTCGTACTTTCGGCCGTCCTAAAAACCCCAGGGAGATCCCCTTACGTTACAAGAGATAAGATACGCTATCTCTCTCTCACCAACAAACAGGTTCAACTGAATTGTGGGTATGTGTTGTTATAGCAGTTCTACGATAACACATCATGTATTTGTCTATACTGTATGGAGTAAGCCTGACAACTTTACGATAACAGACACTAAGTATACTCATCCCTCCCTCCACTCCTTAATAATTATTTTTTAATAATATTATGTATATAACATTATGCATGTATTTGTACATTAATGATCATAATAGTAATAATAATGATTAATTTTTTCTACAGTCTCGATGATGTACAGGGCATGTACTCATATTGGAGCAGTTTTCACATAGTCTGTGATTGTGTCCACATAAATACGATACTCCAGATGAGAGACACTGACTGGTTTTATGACAGCCATCACA